AGTATTTTTCTATTTCAATTGGATTACATCAAAGATCAGCTTTAAGCCCATATCTTTTGTCTTTAGTTATGGGTATTCTTACTAGGCATTTGCAAAAGGATGTACCATGATGTATGCTTTTTGCTGATGATATTTTTCTTGTTGATAAGACTAGAGAGGGAGTTGAAGGTATACTTGAAGTATGGAGGTCAATCTTAGAGCCTAAAGTTTTTCGTTTGAGTTGATCGAAAACTGAATACATGAAGTGTAATTTTAGTAGTAATAGATCTAGTGGGGGATTGTGACTTTGAGTGATCAAGTCATTGATAAGAGTACCCATCTTAGGTATTTCGAGTCTATTGTTCAAAGTGATGGTGAAATAGAAGAGGATATTATTAGTAGAATTCAAGTTGGATGGTTGAAGTGGAGGAATGCATTGGGCTTGCTGTGTGATAGGAAAGTACGCCTCAAACTTAAGAGAAAACTCTATAAGATTGTTGTGAGACCTGCAATGCTTTATGGCTCATAATGTTTGCTATTAAAAGAGAAGCATAAAAGTAAGTTAAGTGTTGCAAAGATGAGGATGCTCAGGTTAGGGATGTAAGTGAGCTGAGCCGCTTTGAACTCGACTCGTTAACAAGCTCGCAAGCCTAGCTTGTATAGCCACTACTTCGAGCTCGAGCTTAGCCTGACTTGGCTTGTAAGCTTGTCGAGCTACTTGTTTAATTAAAATATAATATAAATTTTAATTCTTTAATATATTAATTTATATAATTTTATAATTTATAATTCTTTATTTCTCCAAATCCCACCTATTTATACATTATTTGCGTGCCCTAGCTGCAAACCCATCTTTGTTTTCGTTCAGGCAGGGTGATGGTCTGATGGATCTGGAGGCCTAAGGTACTGGTGGCTTGGACTTTTTTTCGTGAAATGGCTGGCCGACGAAGAAAAAAAATCCATTGCCATCCAAGAGGAAGATTGTTGGTTGTTGGAGGCGACAACTAGGGTGTTGGAAGATTGGAGATGTCCTCGTGAAGTTTCTAGTCGATGAAGATTGGAGATGTCCTCGTGAAGTTTCTAGTCGATGAAGATTGGATTTGTGCTTTGAACGATTTGTCCTTGAAGAAGAAGGCTCTTGCTTAATGTCCTTTGTTTGCCTGCTAGTTACGACTAGGCCGTGAGGCATGATGTTCGTGTTTTGAAGCGATAGAAATCCAAGAAGAAGAGTTCAATTTCCTATTTTCTTTGGATGGCATCGACGAGCAGGCCGTGAGATAAAAGGAGCTTTTAAACATCTTTACATCTTTACATCTTTGTATTGAAAATAAGTACCAATGACGAGTTCTTTTGTTGAGAATATCTTAGAGAATAGCAAGCACTTTGAATGCGTTGCTATGCTATTTGGGCAAACAATCTCAGTTCATAGGCTTTCTATTTTTCTCTGGTATCATTGATGGTTTTTATGTTTTGATTGCTTTCTATTTCTCTTTGGTATCAACTTTGTGATGAGAAATGTGGTGGAATTGTTTCAACCATTTGTTTTTGGGGCTGTGATGCTCATGTTCAAGCTATTAATGCGCTACTTTGAGTGGAACTTAGCGTGCTTATTTAATTAGATTATATCTGAAATCCTCTTGTCTAAGTCTTGGGCTAAAAGACCAAAACTCCCTTTAATTAGAAGTTTTTTTTTGCTAATGTGCATGCTGCTTGTTCACTGGTATTGATGAAAATTTTTAACTCATATATTGATTTCTTCAATCACTTGAAATATTTTTTTAAAGAAATTAAAAGTTAAAGTTGTGTACATTTTATGACTAGTTAAGTTATTTATCATAATTAAAATTAAATTTTAATTTAGTGTTAGAAGTAAAAAAAAATGAAAATTTTTATTTAAAATTAAATAATCGAGCCCAATAAGCGAGTAGAGCTCGAGCTTCTTAAACTAGCTTGAGTATTCGAGGCAAGCTCGAGCTTGATATTTTCTAAACGAGTCGAGCTCGAGCCCAATAACTGAGCTCGAGTCAAGATCAAGTTAATTAATGATTAAACGAGCTCAATTTGATGAGACAGAAACTCGACTCGATCACTCGACTCATTTGCACCCCTAGCTCAGGTGGATGAGTGGTTTCACTCTTATGGATATAATGCGAAATGAGTATATAAGTGAAAAAGGTTTGAGTAGCTCCAATGATATATAAGATTAGAGAGAGTCTGTCTTAGATGGTTTGGTCACATATAAAACGTCGACCTTCTGATGACTTGGTTAGGGGCGTATATGTATTAGATTTGACTTATGTTAAGAAAGGTAGAGACAAACTTAAAAAGTTGGTTAGAAAATATTTGAAATGACCTTTTTTTTAGATTTAAATACGAATTTGGCTCTTAACTGGGCACAATAGAGAAAAAAGATTTATGTAGCCAACCCCACTTAGTGGTATAATGGCTTGATGTTGTTATATCTTGGTCCCAAAATCATTTTTTATTTTACTTTTTAGGTGCATTTTGGTAGCGCTTTTAGGCTACCCAAGCGCTTGGTACTAAAAAGCATATTTGACATGCCTAGGGGTGCAAACGAGTCGAGTTGAGCTAGAGTCAAGGGATGTTCGAGTCGACCTCAACTACCAAATATCGAGCTCGAGCTCAAAAGACTAGCTCGGTCTCGACTCGTCGAGCTCCGTCTCGACTCCTGAGGTCCGCATCTCGCTTTTGCTCCATCCCGAGCTCCGTCGTCGTGTCTTCTCTGTCCCGAGCTCGTCACGCTCTGTCCGACCTTCGATTTGTTTTCCTGCCCACTCAAGCCCGAAATATCATTTTCCCGCTGACAATGGATGGTCACCTCAGCGAGCTACTCGATGAGCTCGCGAGTCGAGGGGAGGTCTGTTCGAGCTCGATAAGCTGTCGAGCTCGATAAGCTCTACTCGTTGAGCTTGTTAACTAGCCGAGTTCGAGCCAGTTCGTGAGTTGGTTTGACTCGATTACACCACTAGACATGCTTATCATGCAAAAGAAGGCGTGTATGGGTTGTGTGCAAGGGCATTCTGGTCGCCACATCTAGAAAGATTCCCACGAGTTTGTGCAAGGGGCTCATGAACACTTCATATATCTTGAATAGTGGGGGAGAGAGTGAGCCATTGCTAGAGGAATGCCAAAAAAATCCACCAAAGATGTTAGGGATAGGTTTTTATAAATCAATCTCTCTCTTTCATCATATTAATATGGGGGTAGGTCTAGCCCCTTGACGCCTACTTGTGGGGGAATGATGATGCCCTCAAATTTCCTTAATATAAGGGCAATAAAGCTGGCCCCTTATGTTATGTTATGACTTTATGTGTATAGATATTAAATTATAAAAAAAAAGAGATCGAATGTTCTTTTTTGTTTCTTGCCATCGGCTAAGAAAAATACTATGACATCAAATTCTTTATTAATGAATGATTGAAGAGATCGAATGTATCAACAAGTTGAGAATGATTCAACAACTATGATACCTATCACCCGATAATATCAAACTTTTGACCAAGCATAATTGTTGGCTTCAAGACAAGTATTCCTTATGTTTAGATCAAAGATCAATGTATGGAGGAGAGACGTTATGTCGAACCAAAGATCGATAAAGATGGTCTTTAAACTTGGTCAATATAAAGATCGGTGAAATGAGGTATTGAATTTAGCATGACTAAATATTTAAGTCTCTTCAAAAGCGTGCCTTCATTTTACACATGAGTTTCTAAGAGAAAGTTGAGAAGATTAAAATTATAAAGGCGTTCATGCTTGACTGAGGTGTTACTATGGGTTGAGTTGTTAGACTCGAGGAAAGCAAGCTCAACATTACTTAACAATGTGGAGATAGACTTCATGGTCTTTTAGCACATGAAATTTGGAAGTTGAAAGGAGTTTTGGCATGAGTTTTAACGGAGGTTTGAGGCACTTGTTAGTTGCGAGGTGCGTGAGTTGTCACATGGAGTGAGGTTGAGAGATGATGAGAAGTCTGCGAGATGCATTAGAGAACGAGGTTGGCCATTGATAGGGTCATAGGCTCCTGTGAGCTAAGAGCATGAACCATAAAGTGATATCGAGAGTAGATAGATGAGAATGGGCTAGGCACGAGAGAGAGAGGACCTGAAAGAGAGGGTAAGTAAAGACAACCCCTAAGAGAGGGTGTGGGAGAGGAGTCAGTGAGTGAGAAATGCAAGAGAGTAAAGCATGCAGGCGAGAGGAGTGGATGACATGTATTGTTGGGGGTGGTTGAGAGATTGATCTTGATGTATTTCAGGAATGAGGAGGTCATGGGAGAAGGAAAATTTCTTCGAAGAGGGAGAGTGGAAGATTCCAATGCGGGAGATATGATAGGGAGTTGTGAGTGTGGGAGGTTTTACGAGCACGATTTGGTCATCGTAGGTCATTTGAGAGGGGCTAAAGAAGTGATCACAGATGCATTCTTGATTGTGTAGATGAGTGGTTTACGACAGGGGCATGATTGATGTGTTTTTTTATTTTCTATATTCATATTCTTTCTTTTTTTAGTTAAAAATCTAGTATACTTTTGGGGATGCTTTCCTCTATATCACCGTAAGCCCTAGAGCTTTAGACTTATAACTTCTATCATTTTCTTTTCATCTACCTTTTTTGTTATTGATTTTGTGTGCAGTTGAAATTTCGTGAAGTTCATTACATGTTGAATTTTTTGTTGTTGTGAGTCGTATGTCACTATAAGGGTTTTATTCGTTTTCAAATTTCTTGCAATGTTTGAGATTTTGATGAATTTTAAGATTTTTAAGTCTCTTAAAGTTATTGTTATTCAAACTCCGATTTAGTACTAAGCCCCAAAATAAATTGTACTTTGCATGCTTTGAAGCACGACATCTTGCAAAAAAAAAAAAAAATCTAATTTTCATCATCTACAATGGAGACATGCTTTGCTCTACAGGCCTTTATTGTTTACAAAGTTTTCTTTTATTCACATTTTCTTTTGGTATTCGTGACTTATACCCCAGGGTCTGAATTTTTTTTTTTTTCAGATTCTATTCTATTTCCTGAAGTACCAATTGCACTGCGGCTGTCCAGTCATCTTCTACTTGGTGTTGTGAGGATATATTCAAAAAAGGTGAACTATCTTTTCCATGATTGTAGTGAAGCTCTGGTGAAGATAAAACAGGCATTTCGATCAACCGCAGTTGATCTTCCACCTGAAGAATCGACTGCACCATATCATTCTATCACTCTGCCAGAAACTTTTGACCTTGATAATTTTGAGCTTCCTGAAAGTGCCTTACTCAGTAGGTCTGTTCTGATCTAAATGCTTTTATTTGGCCACCTCTTTCCTTAAAAACACATTTTCCGAGTGTAAGTAGTATCCTCAATTTATACCTATAAACTTACTACTTTTTTCAGCAATTTTGTTGACAACCATGTCAGTACCAGAGAGCAGATTACACTTCAAGATACAGTTAATGGGACTTCTCACCCAACATCAATGTTCGGGTTGGATGGTTGGTGCCACGGTTTATCTCAATTGAGCTATAATATTTTTTGCTAATGTTGGCTAAGCTGTGAATGTTTGCTTTTGCAGAGAGATTTGGTGATGATGATGCTTCTCATATCGGTTTGGAACTTGAGCAGGTCAATGCTAATGCTTGTTTGCTTGATTTTTACCCTTTTTTTTCAATCCTTCTCTGATTTTTTTAGTAGCATGTAGCGGTTAAATTACAATTTTGATTGATTTTGATATGAAACTATAATTTCTTTTTGCATTATACAATGAATATCCATTGAAATTATTTTATTAATGGTTTGATGAAATGATGAATTTTTCTACCTTTTGTTGGATTGCATTTGCTCATTAAATTCTGGTCCATTCAACCTGTCACTAAGTATGAAATTCTTAGATTAACTGATACAGTGGGGAAAAAAAAATGAAATTCTTCTTTAGTTCTATGGCTAAATTTAACATAAACACGTGTCATAGCTAATTGGTAGTAAATTCCTTCTACTCTTGAAATTGATATTACCTGATCAGTAGTATCCTTCTAAAAACATTTGCAGTGAGAGCATGTCTATGGTTATAACTTATAACCAGCTGTGTTAGTGAACCAAGGACTTAAAAGAGAGAAGTGAGAACATGCTAGAGGATGGAACCTATAGCTTTTGGCTACAACTCTGCTTGTGGTCACAACCTTAAAGCATGTCACTTAGCCTCCTCTTACCCAAATGCTATATGAGTCGTTGTTCATAAGATGCTGCAAAAAACTTAAAATTCAAACACGATTCCTCGCTGCGAAGGTAATAAATGTAGGTTATAGAATTACATCTTGCTTGTAAAATTTATATTAACATTGGCTAAGATATTTACTTAGTGTTGATTTGAAATTTATATGTGTAGTTATTTTCAGAACAATTATTTATGTGGCCTAAAAGGTGGAAGATGATATGATATATGTCATGTGGTAGCAAAGTGAATCAAATGCTATTAGCTTATATTTGAGTTTTTCCTTAATGTTGGTTGTTTTATTTAATCTAATGTGCCTTCAAGTTCAAATTGAATAGTGTCATTGATATTATGGGTTAGCTATCAACTACCTTGGCGATTTGTTAGTGTTTAATTGTCCTATTTTTATTCATTGTAGGGTTATGTTGTTAGTAAGGGATTATTTTTTAATCATAGTTAAGCTTTAGATTGATTTGGAACAATTTAGTATGAGAACTGCAAGGTGTACCATGAATTCTCCTTAACCTTTCAAAGAAAGTCTTGTTATACCTTTTTGTGGCTGACTCCTCACTTTCTCCAGTCATATTTTGTCATGCAAATTTCAAAGTGGTTCTTGCTGCATCTTTTAGGCGTATTACTAATTAGCTACTTCTTAGAATGGAGCATCCTCTGATGCTTGGTTGGACTTTAAATTTTTAATTGTTTGATTCTAGCTTGACACAGGCCAGTCAAGAAAATTATTGTATTTCACATGCGTATAAGAATTCAATATAAAATTTTTGTCAATCTTATCTGGAGAACCATACTATTTTGGGGCTAAATTCCATTTTGTTAAAAAATAACCCCTAAGATATACTATTTGGAGCCCATTGCCAATTAATAAAAATTTCATAAGCAAAGATGGAAAGAGGGCTGGCATCACTTCAATAGTTAGATTGCCCTGTTGTGATGTTAAGGTGAACTTGAATCTGGAAAAGCTTATCTGCTGTACAATAGTAAGCTTAATCGTATGAGTCCCTCGCCATACTCTGTATTCTGGGTTGCTTGTGCATTTTTGAGTTGTTCTTTTCTATTGATAGATATGGAAAGTGAAGTAGTTGACATAGGCATTTTTGCTTGTCTATACTTAGCCATTTGATGGTCCTTAGAATTTTGAAATACGTTTCTGGCGCATGAAGTTTAGTGTGGAACAATCTAATTGGTGTTTTTGTTTGATATGGGCGTATAGTCTGATCCTAGTTCAGGTCAATAAGCCAAATCCCCGTATTCTTTTAACTATCCTGCAGTTCTTCATCTCTCTCAAGCTGTAGATCTATTTTTGGGTACCCCTCATTACTCTTTGTCCTTATTATTATTATTTTTTTTTCAGGAATTATTCATGGACAAGCATTTCTCACCTTTACTTGCTTCGTTTTCAGTGGGTCCTAAAGAGGGGTAAGCATTCTTGTTCTATATTTTATAGATAAGCATACTTTAATCTAGTAACTCTTTACAATAACTGAATGCCATCTTTGTTTGGTTTGCCAATTTTTCTACTTCTCGAATGGCAACCTTACAAATATTGCTTGATCTCGTTGTGGACTCATTTGTACATACTAGCTGTATGTTCTAGTTAGCCCTAGACAATATCTTGTAACTCACTAATTCTTCAGTTGTTACCATTTTTCATGTTATGCCATCTCATAAGCTTCTTAATCTGTGATCTTTTCCTTGAATATCACTCAAACTACTAATAGTGCCTTTTTTCTTGATTTTGGAACACCTCACTAAACTGATATTTCTGGTGAATATTTTCTCCTCAGAGGATCTCTCCAATGTGAACCTTCTCGTCCTTCAACTAGCTTAGGAAATGGACAATTAGGTTACAGCGAGGGAAATTGCAGTGAAATTCCAAATGAGCTATCTGAACTTCTTTGTAGTAATCATGACAGAGAACGTTTTTCAATTTTGAAGGGTTTGAGAAGGAATGAAGATTCGATTCATCATCATAGTTCTAGTATTCAAACTCCAGACCTTAATGAAGTGTTTCTGCCTGATTGTCAAATGGCTCCTTATCCGTGTAACGCTTTAACCCCAGAAGAAGTTCCAACTCCATGCTTAATTGAGCCTGCTCAAGGTCCTTCAACGCCTGGATTATTAGAAGAAGCAATACCATCCAATTTTCAAGAAATTCCTGCTCTGAGTCCTCAGGAAAGAGCTGCTACGCCTGCTGAACCAGGGAGGCCTTGGAGTATTGGTCCGTCCATGGAGGTTGAATATCCTGAAACTGTTAATGAAACTGGGCATACGGATACTCCAGCAATGGATCATATTTTGGACGGAACTGCTGAGGGATTGTCTTCTTCAGTTGTGTTTGAGCAAAGGTCTGGTTCCCTAGCACCAACTCATTTGGATGAAAACCTAATAACTCATGATAGGTGCCTTCCTTCTGGTACTGAAAATGCGATAGGTAAATCAACTGGTAAGGAAGTGAATGATCTATCAGTATCTGACCAGAAGCAAGACTATATGAAGGTTATTCTTCCTTCAGCCGTTTCTGATGAGACGGGCAATCGTGATTTACATATTAAGCTTGCGACATTCTCTGAAGTAGAGCCTATCTCTTCCAAAATTTCCACAGTGAATAAATCGGATGTTTCAGGAGCAGTTTGGGATGCAGAGACAACAGTTCACAACTGTACTGAACCATCAAACATGAGTAATCTGGGTCATGTAGAAGACAATGGTTCTTATCTCAGTAGAAACACATCTGCTAGTGCGTCTGATTTTCATTTGAGACCATGCAGTTCAAATTTGCATGAGGATGCTACCTTGGTAGAAGTTTCTGAGTTATCTCACAGGGAACAGTTTTGTAGCCTGGAAATGCCAATTAGGGAGGAGCCTCCTTCACGTCAGGTTCAAGGTTTGTTTAACCAATCAGTCCCTGCCATGCAGCTTATGTACTTACTACAGTTTGACTGCTAGATTCATATGAATTGACATCTTTCAGGTAATGAGTTGCGCTCTACAGATTTTGGAGATTCTAACCTAGAAGAGCAGCAGAAGCCAGTGTACATTTCCTCTGGCGCCAAATCTGGTGTCATTGAGCCACATGAGCTGTCAGTGTGTGATCTTTCAAAAGTCAACCAGCCAGATCGCTTCAATTACTCTTCCAGTTCTGAAGTTGTAGAACCTGAGAAGATGTTAGCTCCAGCATTCAATGTTGATTTTTCAAATGATAAAGCACAGCAATCTTCAGATAAAGGAGTGGCAGAGTTTGATAGAAATGTTGATAGAATCAGCACTTCTTCGAAAGTCGTCCAGCCAAATCACTTCAATTACTTTTCCAGTTCTGAATTTCTAGAACCTGAGAAGATGTTAGCTCCAGTTTCCAATGTTGATTTTCCAAGTTATGGAGGACAGCAAGCTGCGGACAAAGGAGTAGCTGAGTCTGATGGAAGTGTTGATAGAATGGGCACTTTACACAGCAAGAAACGTCAAATAATGGGCAGCATGACTGATCAAAAAACTGTTCCTGCAGCCAAGTTGTCTGGAGTTCCAAGAAGCTGGAGAAATGTTGTTCCTGATGATGATGATTTATTGGCATCCATTCTAGGTATGTGAAAGTTTTAAGCTTTTATATTGTCAATTTTGACAGTAACAAGGAATTAAAATGGAAATTTTATATTTTTCAATTTACGTACTAAGTTGATTCTTGATATTTATGCGTTTGCTACATCAGTTGGAAGGACGTCTCAATTCTTGAAAATTGGAACACCGTTGCCACCTTCCACAGCATCATCTCATAAGAGGCCTCGAACTATGCCCAAAGTTGGCATGCTTAAAAGAAGAAAGGTGCTGGTGGATGATACTATGTTTTTACATGCTGAGTATGTCTTCCCTGTCCAATGTTCTGTGCCCAGTGTTTGTCAGTATTTGGGTCATTCAATGTTAGTCTTGGGATTTTGTTTTCTTTGTATGGTTCTGACATGTTCTTTTTATGCATTTGTTATTCATGGTAATATTTGCTAAAGATTAATTGCGTGTATCAAATAAATTAATTAATTTGGCTATTGGCTTTGAAGATATGCACATACCTATCGTTGTCCAAAAATAATTTTCTTTTACAAGAGTTCTCTATTACAAACTCCTAGCAAAGACATGTAGGCCCTTCATGAAAACATCTAGTTCAAAATTTTCATCTTTCTGCATCTCTCCGAATAGTATTTACTTTGCTACTCTTTATTCTGTCTTTTGTTTGTTTTGTTGTGGTTTTTGGTGGGTTTAATCTGGTGAACGCATATGTAAAATTAAAATTGTTATTTTTGTGTTTAATTTAACAATAAACCATGCATAAAGTTTTGGAAAGAACATTGCTGCTTGTTATTGGCAAAGTTTGCTTAGCTGTCTAGTTCATGCTTTTAGCATTTGTTTTCAGCTGTACTTGTTTACTTATAGTTTGCATACTTTTTTTCTTCTTTTTAAATGCAGATTCTCTTCATCATTAGGAGAGATAATTTTAAATTGTTATCTATGCCATTATCACGAAATTCTATAACTCTGCCCATTGTTTAATTAAAATAATTTTATCTTATCAGTAGCCTTTTATTGAATTGGAGGAAAAAATTATGAGCTTTGCCCTGTATGAGCATGGTAATCTAGTTTCTCAGTTTTGTTTTTCTTAAGTTTTGTAAAAATTTCTTCTTACAACAACAACAACAACAAGTCTTTATCCTACTACGTGGGATTGGTTGCATGAATCCTTTTTCTCCATTATGTTTTAATAAGAGTCAAATTCTTATTTAAATCTAATAAAAATGATCATTTTTAATACTTTCTAACCAAGTCTTTTTTAAGTATGCCTTTACCTTTCTTAATATAGGCTAGATCTAATAAATATACTCTCCTTATAGGGTCATCAAAAGGCCAACGTTTTATGTGACCAAGTCATTTAAGACAATTCTTTCTAATATTATATGCTAGTAGAGCTACCCCAACTTTTTCACGTATATACTTGTTTTGCATTCTATTTCTAAGTTTAAGGGGTGTAAATGATCTCATGAGTCGAGCTTACCGAGCCATGAGTTTGAGCTAGAGCTCGAGCCTATACTTGAGCTCATATATTAAACATGCTCGAACTCGAGCTCAACCTGGTTTCGCTCATATGCTTGCGAAGCCGCTCGATTAACTTAAATTATATTTAAAAATTAATTTTAAATAAGCATTATATAATATATTTTAATATTACTCCCATTATTTTATTTGTATATTTGAAGTAAAGTTTCTTAAAAAAAGATTAAAAAATTAAATTTAAAAATAAGAATCGAGCTTAACAATCGAGTCAAGCTCTAGTTTTCTAAATGAGTTTGAGCCTAATTTTTTCTTTTAACAACCCTTGTTCAAGTTTGAGCTCAATAAGGATTAAACGAGCTTAGTAAGAATTAAATAAACTCAACTCGATTAAGCTGATACTTGACTAGACTCATTTAAACACTTACTAAGTGTAAAACCACTAATCCACCTGAGCATCCTCATTTTTGCAACACTTAGTTTTATGATTCTCTTTAATGACTTACATTATGTGCCATAAAACATTACAAGTCTCACCACCATCTTATAGAAACTTTTGCTTTAGGTTTAAAATTTTAAATGTATTTTATTATCACACAACATACCCAATGCATTTCTCCACTTTAACAATTCAACTTGAATTATGCTAAAAATATCCTCATTTATTTCACCATCGCTTGAACAATATACTCAAGATATCTAAATATTGCACTCTTTTTAATAAATTGATCACCCAATGCCACTATCCCACCACTAGATCTATTTTTACTAAAATTACACTCAATACATTTGATTTTAGATCTAGTCAAATGAAAACCTTTAAACTCTAAGGTTGGCCTCCGTAATTCAAGTTTTTTATACTCTAGTCTTATCAATAAGAAGAATATCATAAGCAAAAAGCATACTCCAAGGTACATTCTCTTGCAAATGTCTAGTGAGAGCATCCATGGCTAAAACAGAAAGATACGAGCTTAAAGTTGATATTTCATGTAATCTAATTGAAATAGGAAAATACTTTATCAAAACACCTTGTGTTCGAATACAAGTAACAACTCTTGTATACATATCCTTAATGACTTGAGTAAAAATTTTATTAACTCTTTTCTTTCTAGAGCTCTCTAGAGTACTCTTGAGATTGTCTTTTTTTTTTTCCTCTAAATAAATAAATATCATATTGATATTCTCCTTACTCTTTTTATGCTTCTCCATCAAACCTCTTAACAAATGTATGTCTTCTATAGTACACTTACCCAAAATGAATCCAAATTGATTTTAAGAAACATTAGTATCATGCCATAATTTATGCTTAATTATCCTCTCCCATAATTTTAATTTATGACACATTAATTTAATTTCTCTATAATTCACATACTCTTGTTCATAAATTTTATTCTTAAAAATAAGAGCCCACATACTCCTTATCCACTCATATAACATCTTTTTAGTCTTAAAAACTATTAAAATGTTTAGTAAGTCAAGTAATACCTTGATCTCCTAAACATTTCTACAAATCTATTGGAACATCTTCAGGTCTTACTACTTTCTAACACTTTATTTTCTTTTAAGTCTCTTCAATTTCAATTTTATTAATATGAAGATAAATATAAAAACCTCTATTTTCATTTAGGGTGCTGAAGTCACTAAAGTCAATCGTATTCGTATAACTTTCATTAAAATGTTTATCAAAATACCTCATCCACCTACGTCGAATATTTTCTTCTAAGAAGATTTTTTTTTTATCTTCATCCTTAATGCACTTCACTTAAACTAATTCTTTATTTCTTGTATCTTTTTAACTTAACTAACTTATGCACACATCTTTCATTTTTCTTAGCATCTAATCTATTATATAAATCACAAAATGTTAAATTATTTGCATCACATATTCCTTTCTCAGACTCTCTACGGACTCCTATACATTTTCTCCAATTTTTTGAGATTTTATATTTAAACCAACATTTTATAACCAAATATTCTTATTTTTTATTTTTTCTTGTACATTTTGATTCCACCACTAATTTTACTGTTATGAGCTTTTTCTATGATTTTTCAAGCATATACCTTGCAATATTCTTAATATGACTAGCTAATTTTTCTCATATAACATTAACTTCCTCATGAATAACCAAATCTTTAAATCTTGAATCTAATTCTTAAAAATATTTTATTAATATTATTTAAGTACCCCATCTAATCCTGAGATAATATTTTATTTTATTTTTTATGTACTACCCTTTCATCTTAAAATTCAAAATTAAGAAGTGATGTTGGGTACATAAACTTTTGCTCGAAATGACTTTACAATCGTTGCAATCTAATTAATCAAAATTTTTTATAAGAAACTAATCAATATGAGTTTTACTATGTTCATTATTACAAGTGATGAGATGCTACTCTCATTTTTGAAATAAAATACCAACAATTATAAATCATAAGCTAGAGCAAAATTTAATATTGTTCTACCACCTTCATTAATCGATCCAAACCTATAGCCACTATGAATGCTTTTAAAATCTTATGCTACTCTACTAACATGTCCAATTAAATCTCCTTCAATAAATTTTTTTTCTTCAAGAGATATCCTTTATATTAATTATTCAAAGTCATTCTATAATTTTATTTTTGAATTTCCAAACCTACTTGAGGAGGATAAGTACTTACAACGTTAATAATCTTAGCATCAACATTTATCTTTAAAGCTATAATTTTATCTCAAATTTATTAATTTCTACAATATTATCTTTCAAGCTTATTTATGATCACACCTACATTATTTTTAGTACGACTTCTATCTAAATATTAAAGTTTAAATTCAAAACTATCAATCTCTTTAGTCTTTTCTCCAACCCATTTAGTTTCATTGAATGCAATGAATATTTATTTATTTTTTATAAATCATAATATCTATTCATTTATTAATTTGCTTGCAACAATACATAACTTCTAAGTTCATTTTGTTATTCTAGTTTCATGGACTAGCTTCTTTACCCACTTCTATTTATGATGTGGAAACCCTTGCTTGTTTAACACTGCACCCGAGTGCCGATGCAACGTCCTTTGCACACTTTTTCGTTGTATTCAGGCCATTTAGGGCATCACTTCTAAGGAATGCCCTAATATTAACACAATACATTAAACTATTCATGTTATGATTGTTTGATAAGTTTTATGTTGATTGTCGACTACTTAATGTACCACTTCATTTTTCTTATTCAGGGCTTGAGACTTTATTTTTTGGCGCTTATAATAATGAGAAAATCCTTAGTTTATATGTTATTGAAGTTAATAGTGTTTTCTATATAAGCAAGAGATAACTAAATTAAGGTACACTAAAATCAAGTTTAAACAATTCTAATTAATTAGTGCTAAAGGCTGAGTTAGATTAATTAAAACTTTAATCCCTAAAGTTATAATTAATTAACAAAAATAACTTAATTAAATTTGTTTTGTAATTTATTTGAGTAACTTCTAATGATGTTTAAAAAAAGGGATCTCCCTAGTGTTCTAAAAAATGGATGGATATTTCTTCATAACACAACGCTTATTGCTTGGACCATTGTACGTGCTCACATCTCCACTTGCTTGCACCTCTTCAGCACTTGCGGACACTATGTTAGTAAGTGTCCTTGTTACTTGGTGCTTGCATCATCCGTCGTTGAGTTTTGCTCGCTATGACCTCCTTTGCTCATGGTTCTCAAGGTTTAAGTTGTCTCGACTACTCCTTATCGCCTTTTTCCTCTCCGCTTTTTTGATTCTCTCCCCCTTATCCATGTGGGAAAGTACCTAGTGTGCTTGCGGATGGTTGCTTGCATGTTCATTT